CCGCGAGATGCTGAGAGCGATCGAGAAGCGCGGCAAGCTCTGGGCCCCCACTGGCAAAGTTCTGAAGCTCAGAGCCATCGAGGTCCTACACGACCACAGCACCACCGAGAAGCCCGAACACATGATTGCCGAGCTCCGACGCCAATGATCACCAGTTTCCCAGGCGAAGCAGAGTCACACCCAGCACGTGCGGCGCTACTTGGACAAGCACACCGCCCCCTACGACTGCTCTCAGATGGACATGCCGCCGCTAGGCGAGATGCAGAACCTCAAACGCAAGCTCATCAACTCGGCGCCAGGTCCAGACGGTATCCAGCACACGGCATGAAAACGCATTCCCTCCTCGGCGCAGCTCCTGCTCGAGGAGGCGCTCGAGGTAATGAAGAGTGACCCTGTTCCGCTGGACTTCAACGACTCGCTGATGATATTCACCCCGAAAGGATCAGGACCTGATGATGGGCTCACTGCTGCCAGACTGGCCAAGGCTACGAGACCCCTCTCCCCGAAGAACATGGACTGCAAGATTGCGGCTGCCATGGGCAACGAGCTGATGAAGCCGATTGACGCGAATGGGGCCCATGGTGCGCAGAAAGGCTTCCTCCCGAAGCGGCGCTTCATAGAACGCGTGGTGGCGATGGATGCACAGTCCCGCATTGTGGCCATGCAGGACGACCCAACGGACAAGGACCCGCTGATGGTGCTCCACGACTTCGGCGGCGCGGCCCCGTCGATGTGCAGGGCCTGGCTCAAGATGGCGCTGGAGGGCGCTGGCTTTCCAGAGGGCATCCGCAACGTGATTGATGCGACCTGCCTCCTGCCAGTCGCCTTCACCAACCTCGGGGGCGCCAACGAGGTCTTCTGCGCTCTCGCCTCGGGCATCCTCCAGGGGCGCCCTTGGTCGGGCGCTCTGTGGGCTGTCGGCGTGGACCCGCCGACCAGGGACATGCGCTCGAGGACAGCGAACTTCAAGGGGGCGGTCGTCGGCGTCTGTGCCGACGACGTGGGCTGCGTGCTCCCGTCGCTGAAGTTGTTTCGGCTTTTGAGCAGTGTGTTCTATGCGGCGGAGACTCTGGCGCGCCTCGTGCTGAAGACGGCGAAATGCAAGATCATCCCTCTGGCGGAAGCCTTCACCCCTGCTGCGGAGGACAGGGTGCGCACCAAGATCAATGAGCTCGTACCTCTCTGGAGGGGCATGACGATCACGGACATGGCTGAGTACCTTGGTGTGCTTTTGGGCTCCAGTGTTGACGACTGGCATAGGTGGAAGCAGGTAGTCCTGGGCTGGCAGCGGTCCACCAACCTGATTGCCGACGTCGGAGCCCCGACCAGTACTTCGCTGATGCTATACAACCAGCGCGCGATGAGCAAGACCTCGCACCTCAGCCAGCTCTTCGCGCAGCCGCAGAAGATGAAGAAGAAAGTTGGGCGCTACACCGCGCATGGCACCTGCTCCCCCCCCCCCCCCCTTCCCCGAGCGCTATTTCGAGATGAACTACTGGCGCTGGGACGTTGGGCATCGCTGAAGGCGGTCTCCCTCGAGCTGAACAGCCGCGCGGCATTGATGCGCAGCGCCGCTGATTCGGTGCTGAACAGGCCATTTTGGGCACGGCGTCTGCGCGACGCGGCGGAGGTGGGCCTCTCGTTTCACGCCCGCACGTTCGACATGTACGCCCCACCCCGTTGGAAGTCGAAGCCGATCGCCCACGCGCTTGAGGAGGCGGCGCAGGGGTTCCCCAAAGAGAACAATCGTGCTTTGGCCGCGGCGTGCGGCACAGCTCTGAGTGAGTGGAAAGCGGAAAAAGACCGCCTCCCCGTTGAACGCCCTAGTGCCCGTTTGCGCATGCAGAAGTTTGTTCACTCCCACCTTGTCTCTTCGCTCCTCCCTGACCGCCACCCTGTCACCGTCCTCTCTCGTCTCAACTCCTGGGCGAATACAGATCAATCGCTTGCGCTCTCACAGATCGAATGGGAGCCGCTCGAAGAGCTGCTCACCTCGGGCTTGTCGCCCGCTGCTCACTCGGCCCTCGTGAAGACCTGGGTGGGGGGTTGGACTACGAGCCGCCGCCTACACACGAGCGACGTGTGCAGCCAGTTTGTTTTGGGCTGCCACCAATCCGAGGTCCTTAGCGCTCTGGATTCAATGTCTCATTATGTTCATTGCCAACACCTGTGGCATGCGGTGTGCGCGGTTTGGCACTCGAGCACGGTCGCACCACAGTCAGTTCTCGCTTGTCTGGGCCTCTGCAGCGGAGAATCAGATGAGTTTCCTCAGCGCTTGGCTCTCGAGCGCGCAGTCATTGCTCTTCGCACTTACAACATTCAAGCGAAACTTCCGATTACAAGGTGGTCGCTACCTGAAGCGGCCAAGGACAGCGCCCGCGCTGCGAGGGCGCTCTTCCTTTCAACTCACAAGGCTGTACAGTAAGTCTTTTGACACCGTGCTGCGCGGAAACACGAGTGATATATCTATATCAAAAATACATATATATAATTATGTATGTATATGTGTATATATATATGTAATTATATATACTTATAGATATATGGTCCAAGGCTTGGGCCCCCCCCCTCCCCCCTCCAATGCTGATGCCATTGCCCCCCCCCCCGCGCGATGGTCCCCCCCGCCCCCCCCTTGTGGGCGTGGCGTGGCGCTGCGGGGGTCCGGTGCCAACCCTCCCCCCCCCTGGGATGTGGGGTGGTGCTGTGGTGGTTTCAGAGGTGGGCGATGTCGTGTGCTGCGCTGGGTTGCCCCCATTCCCCCCCCCCTTCTTGTGGAGTGTTGTGGTGCTTTGGTGGTCCAGAGATCGGTCGTCGTCCTCGTCCTCGTAGTCCTCGTCGTCCTCGTCGTCCTCGTCGTCCTCGTCGTCGTCGTCATCGTCGTCGTCGCCGTCGTCATCGTCGTCATCGTCGTTCGTCGCCGCGCCGCCTCCCGGCGTCGTCGCCGCCGCAGCCGTCGTCGTCGCGTGGTCGTCGTCGTCGTCGTCGTTGCCGTGTGTGGTCGTCGCCTCGTTCGTCGTCGGTCGTCGTCGTCTCTGGGACCAATACCATCTGAAGGGGGGGGGTCCTCGAGGAATCTGGGACCATACATTGGGAGGTGAGACCCTCCCCTTCGTGGGCCGGAGCGGGGATCATTATATATATATATATATATATATATATATATATATATATATATGTATCCCTGGGGGGCAGGCCCGGGGCCCACAAACAGCTGCCCCGACCCACCATGGGAGGACGGGGTGGCCGGGGAGGTCCAAAATAGTCCAGGAGGGCCTCCAGAGGCGCCCCAGACGGCCCAGGCGGGCCCCGAGTCGCCGAAAGACCGCTCCAGGACGCCCAAGATAGGCCCAAGACGGCCCGAGAAGCCCCCCCAAGGCACACGACGCTCCAAGACGCCTCTCCCGAGCGCTTCAACAGGCCAAAATCGTCAATTATACGAAGGTTTTGGATAGATGTTCGCCTTCCAGCCTTTTCGGCTGTCCGATGTTCCAGACCGGCTCCATTGGCCCCCAAGAGCGCCCCAAGATTGCCCAAGAGGGCCCCCAGACGGCCCCAGAGGCGCCCAAGAGCGCCCCAAGACGGCCCCAAGGTGCGCCCAAGAGGGGGACCCTCCCGCTTGAAGAGTGTCCCAGGAGGCCCCAAGGAGCCCCCAGAGGCCCCAGGAGGCCCCCGAGAGGCACCCAGGAGATCCAAACAAGGCCTCAAGAGGCCACAAAGCAGCCCCGAGGAGGTCTCACAACGGTCTCAAAATGGCGACCGAGAAGCTGCGAAACTGCCTTCACGACGTCCCCGACATGCCAACCACGAAATCAAAACCAACACCCATGAGGCCTCTGACCCACCACCTAGGGCACCCGCCGCCCGCACGCTGTCCGCGTAGCACGCACCACTCTGTACTCAACAGCTTCAGTCTCCAAGACAACACCCTGTAGTCAACAGCCCCCGTCTTCAAAGCAACGCCCTGTACACAAGCTCCCGCTGCAAGAGAGCACCCTTAAGGTATTCATTCAAATCCCGACCCGCCCGCCCGCCGCCCGCCCGGCCGCTCGTCCGCCTTCTGCGTAGCACGCGCCACCCTGCATTCAACAGCCTCCGCCTCCAAGACAACACCTAGCATTCAACAGCCCCCAGGGCTCCCAGGACTGCCCAGGCCCGCTCCCAAACACGCCACGACACGCCAAGAGGGCCCTAAAGGTTGCCAAGACAGCCCCAAGAGGCCCCGGACACGCCGAAGATGGCCTCAGGACGGCCGACGACGCCGCCAAAACGCCCCAAGAGCGCCTCCAGAGGCCCCTCCAAAGGGTCCCGCATTTTTGCGCTCTCGCATGTTCCGCCTCCCCACGGTCCCGGACGGCGTCAGAGGCCCTTCAGATCGCTCCAAGACGGCCGAAGAGGCTCCCAAGGAATGACCAGAGACGGCCCAGGAGGCTCCCCAGATAATTCAAGAGGGCCTCAAAAACGGCCCAAGAGAGCCCCAAGAGCGACCCAAGAGGGCCCGACGAGCGCGACACAAGGTCTCCGGCCTGAGAGGCTCCTAGGACGCCCCCGGATGCCATCAAGAGGCTCCCAAGAAGCCCCGTGGGGCTCCCAAGAGGCCCCCCGGAAGCCCCAAAAAGCTTCCAAGGGCCCCCCAGGGAAGCCCCCTGCGTGCCCCCAAGAGACCTCAGTAAATCGTATTTCCCAGAGCTTTCCGGGAACATGATTCCTTGGGCTTCCGCCCCCCGCCCCAACCATGTTTCCAATAGGCTTGCCGAGAAGGCCAAAAAAGGCCCCTCGGTAAGCCCCCACAGCCCACCTCTTTTAAGAGAGCCGAACAAATCATGCTCCCGGAAAGCTTCCTGGGAACATGATTCTCGGGTTGCCGCCCTCTCCCCAAACCGAGTTTACAAACGGCTGCCAGGATAAAACAACGAGAGTCCCAAGCAGCGCCACCTTGCCGCCACGCTCGGAAACGCGTCAGGCCCCGAAGCCTCCGGAGGCGCCCAACGACACCCCAACAAGTCATGTTCCCAGGACCGTAGCCATTTTGGCTCAAGCCATTTGGGCTCGGTGGCGCCTTGCCCGCACCCGCTTCTTCGTGGAGGCATCTCCTGCTTAGGGGCACCAGCGAGAGACCTCAGCCCTTGATTTCCCAGCGAGATGGGCTGCTCTATTACCGAATGTTGCAACCATCCCAATCGTGGGGCTTGCTTTCACCGTCTTGCCTCCGTCTTTTGATGATCTCGAGAAGATGTTGCAGGTTTATGCTCTGCTGTCAGGCTTGCTACTGTCGATGGTTGGGGCTTGCATCTTCGAGGACTTCGACAAGTTCAACAAGGCTACGGAGATCTATGGCGCCCTTTTTGGATCGTTAGAGCTGTTATTCCTGCTGGTAGTCATCATCGTCTGCCTTTACTTATACTTAATGAGGTTCGTTACGCAGGAAAAGAGGCAAGACCTTCTCGCCGAAAAGCAGGCTCACAGTTGGTGGGTGAGCGGTGGGAGGTGGATCTTCGTTGGACTGCCGATTCTCGTGCTGTACTCTTCCTGGCTGTTCCGAATGGCTGTCACGATGTATTTCGAGTGCAAGTTTGATACTTTAGGTGACGGTCCGTTCGACTATGGTTGCATGAAGCATTGGTTGACGCTGCCCATAGTTGCATTCCTGGCGTTCACGACAATACACAAGAGTTTCCACACAGCGGGATGGGTTGAGGACCAGAACGGGCACATGGCCATACCAGAGTCCATGTCCGAGGACAGCTGCTCAGAGGACTCCAGCTGAAATGCAGCAAACCATTTTCCAACCTGGAACAATATAATGCAACATTTTTCAACTAGCCAGCGCCTTGGCTATTTTTTTGGCAACCCCAGAGGTGCCATAACCTTGTTTGAATTGCAGACGGTCCACGTTTTCACATTTTTCGAACCGGGCCATGTGCGTGCTGTGCTCTGCATCGCATCTGTAGCGGCAGTAGCGGGCTTGTGTGGTTGGAACCATCGCCCCTACCTTTGACCCATCAGCGTTGCGTTCTGCACGCAGATGTCGGACTTTCTCCAGTGATTCGTCACCCAGTCGATAAAAGAAATGTTCCCAGGAAGTCTTACGGCCAGTGCCGCCGACGTTGAAGGAGGACGGTCCAGGACACCCAGAAATCTTCCAAACAGGCTTCAAGAGGGCGCCGAGACAGCCCAGGGCCGCCCCCAGACGGCCCAAGAAAGTCCCAACACAGACGAGAAGGACCGCAAGGCAAAAGGCCCCCAAGAGGCCCCGAAACAAAGACGTATCGTTCGAACACGCCCAAGATGGCCTCCAGACGGCCCACAAGGATTCCAACACGGCCCAAATGGACGCCAAAGTCATTGATTGTCCTTAGGTTTTTGATGGATTTCAGACACCCAGTGTCGCCCCAACAGGCCCCCACGAAGGCGCCGAGACGGCCCAGGGACGCCCTGCTGCGGGCACGAGGCGGGACCCGGGACGGGGTCCTCGCACCGGGGGCCGGGGGGCCCTGCCGTGGCGCTGGGGGCCTTGTAAAGTCGCTCGAAGACGGCCCTGGCGTTTCCAGACAACGCCCAAGAAGTCTTCAAGATGGCTCCCAGGAGCCCCAGGAGGCACAACTAATTTGGTTTTCTTTTGTTTTTGATCGATTTTCGACTTCTCGCCTTTTGAGTTTCCTGACGCTCCACGACGGCCCAGGAGGCTTTAATTTCCGCTCCAAGGCATCCCCAGAGGCCTCGAAGACGGTCACAAGACAGCCCACGGGGGTCCCAAGATTGCGCCAGAGGCGCCCAAGGCGGCCCGAGAGGGCCAAGACGACCCCAAGATGGAGCCAAGAGGGTTGACACGAACCGAAATTCCGAGTCTTCCACCCCGAGAGGCTCTCAGGAGGCCCCGAGAAGCCCCTAACAGGCTCCAAGAGGGCCCAAGAAGCCCCCCAGGGGGCCGAAGAGTATCCAAGAGGCCTCCCACGAAGGCCCCAAGAGGCAAAAATCCATGTCCTGCCATAGGTTTCTGATTGATGTTAGAGTTTTCAGCCTTTTGGCGTCCTGACGCTCCAAGACGGCCCAAAAGGCCTCCAAGACCAATCCAAGATAGCCCAAGAGGCCTCCAACAGGGCCCAAGACAGCCCGAGAGGGCACCAATACAGCCCCAAGGGGGGCCCAAGAGGGGTAAGACGAATCGAAAATCCGAGCCTTCCACCCCGAGAAGCTCTCAGGAAGCCCCAGAGGCCCCCAAATGGGACCCAAGAGGCCCTCAAGAAACTCCCCAGAAGGCCGAAGAGGTTCAAGAAGCATTGTTTTCCCATCGGCTTTAGATGGATTTTAGAGTTCCCAGCCTTTTGGCATCCCGAGCTCCAAGACGGCCCAAGTGGCCCCCCAAGAGGGCTCCAAGACGGCCCACGAGGGCCCCAAGACGGTGCCCGAGGCGCCCAAGACGGCCCGAGAGGGCCCCAAGAGGGCCCTGGAACGCGAACCCAACAGCAGAGCTTTCCGCCCTAAGAGGCCCACAGGAGGCCCCAAGAGTCCCCAAGTGGTCCGACGAGGCCCCCGAAAGCCCCCCACCAGGCCCCAAAAGGCTCACAGGAGACGTACACGGGGCCCCAAGATAACCGAACAGTGCTCTCGATGCATCAAGATTGCTTCAAGGAGGCCCCGGGAGGCTTCCAGATTGCCTCAATGTGGCCTCAAGCCGGGCCTCCACGCAGCCAAGACGGCCAATTGACTGCTTCAGATTGCAGAACATCACTTTCCGACTGCCCGGAGAGCCCTGACGATGCCCCCAAGGGACCCCAAGAAGCCCCAAGATGCCCCCCCGAGAAGCACCCAAGAGGTGCCTCCAACAGCCAAGGCCCCGGGGCGGTGCCAGTAATCTCCATGGGGGGTGCAGGGCGCCCCCGGGAGCGTCCGAAGTGTCCCGGAGGGCCCCTGGGACCGCCAGGAACAGTTCGAGACCGCCCAAGACGGCCCGCGAGCGCTCCAAGACGCGCATAGATAGCCTCAGGAATGGCCAGGAAGGCCCGAAGACGTTCCAAGAGAGCTCCATGAGGCCCCGAAGGCATCCCAAGAGGCCTCTCAAGAGAGCCCCGACAAGCCAAAATCGTTGATTTTTATTGTTTTTGTTCGAGGTTTTTGGCCTTCTCGCTTTTTCGGGGTTCGGACGCTCCAAGACCGTCCAAGAGTTTCCCAAAACCGCTCCCAGACGGCCGAAGAGGCCCCCAAGACCGCCCCCAGACGGCCCAAGAGACCCCCAAAATCGTCCCAAGACAGCCCAGGAGAGCCCCAAGATGGCCCAGGAGCCGCCCAAGACGGTTCTAGGAGTGCCCCGACAGGGCTTCAAGATTGCCTAAGCGAGCCCAGCGGTTCCCAAGAGGGCTTCGCGAGGCCCCAAGAGGCCCCAAAGAGGCCCCCAAGAGCCTCCCCGAAGGCCCCAGAGGCCCCCAAGATGCCCAAAAATGGCCCTGAGCGCGCCCCAGGACGCCTCCAGGAGAGCCCCACAGGCCTCCGAGAGGCCCCCAAGAGGCCCACTGGAGGCCCTCAGGAGGTCGTCCCCATCATGTTCCCGGAAGGCGGTCCGGGAACATGATTCCGCGCCTTGGAGGAGTATTCTGCGCCTTCCGAGGCGCCTTGGACGACGTACGATTCAGATTCTTGAACGCTTTCCGGGAACATGATTTCTCACCGTTTCGGAACGCTTTCCTACTGCTGCGGTGCTCTGGGGGGAAGGGACGAGGCGAAGCTGCTTGGGCGGGCGAGAGGAAAGTCTCCTGTGGCTGAGGCGCGGCCAGACAAAATGTCTCCCTTCCGGCGTCCGGTGGCGCGCGGTGTCCCGCCGGTGTCCCGCTTTTGCTGATGCGCGACCGGACCAAATGACTCCCTTCCAGCGTCCAGGCGCGGTGTCCCGCCGGTGTCCCGTCGGTGTCCCGATGATGAAGATGAAGATGATGGTGATGATGATGATGATGATGATGATGATGATGATGATGATGTCGATGATGTTGATGATGATGACGGCGATGGTGGTGATGAGCATGGTGTCCCGATGATGACGATGATGGTGACGACGTTGATGATGATGATGGCCATGGTGGTGATGATGACGGTGCCCCGATGATGATGTTGATGATGCTGATGTTGCTGATGATGATGATGATGATGATGGCATTCCGAAATTGATGATGATGTTGATGATCCGGATGATGAGATGATGAGATGATGATGTTGATGATGATGATGATGATGATGATGATGATGATGGTGTCCCGATGCTGATAGTGATGATGAGGTTGATGATGATGCTGTTGATAATGATGATGGTGATGAAGATGATGGTGTCCCGATGATGATGTTGATCATGATGATGACGACCATGGTGTCCCGGTGATGATGATGAGGATGAGGATGAGGTTGTGATGAGGATTTGTATGGTGGTGGACCGATGATTATGATGATGTTGATGATGATGATGGCCTCCCGATGATGATGATGATGATGATGATGATGATGATGAGGATGAGGATGAGGATGAGGATGAGGATGAGGATGGTGATGATGATGGTGACGATACTGATGGTGTCCCGATGATGATGATGATGATGATGATGTTGATGATGATGCTGATGTTGTTGATGAGGATGCTGTCCCGATTATTATGTTGATGATGCTGTTCATGAAGATGATGATGATGATATGATCATGGCGATGATGGTGATGTTCCGATGTTGATGATGATGATGATGATGATGATGATGATGATGTTGTCCTGATGGTGATGATGTTGTTGAGGATGACGGTGGTGATAATGGTGTCCCGTTGCTGATGATGGTGATGATGCTGATGATCTTGATGATGATGGTGATGGGGTGATGATGATGGTGGTGTTCCGATGATGATGATGATGATGATGATGATGATGATGATGATGATGATGATGATGATGATGATGATGATGAATATGATGATGTTGATGACGTTGATGACGATGATGTTGATGATGGCGTTGGTTATGATATCGATTGTGATATCGATAGTGAGATCGATCGTGACACCGAATGTGATATCGATGGTGATATCGATAGTGAGATCGATTGTGAGATCGATAGTCAGATCGATTGTGAGATCGATCGAATGAAATACATCGAGTGAGAGCGATTGTGAGATCGATCGAGTGAGATCGATCGAGCGAAACCGATAGTGAGATCGATAGTGAGATCGATAGTGGGATCGATAGTGAGACCGATCGAGTGAGACGTCGGTTCCTCCCCCCCCGAACCTCCTTATCACCCGAAGGGTGGTCGTATAGGTAATGTTAGTTATGCGTTCTCATTCCTTCATGCTTCTTTCTCCTCATTTTCGCCATACCCTGCACATTCCCCCCATCCTCCTCGGCTCTTTTTTGCGGAGGTTCCTCCTTGGAGAGAGAGCCCCTGGGGGTCTCGAAAAGGTTGTTTCAGGCTTTCTTACGGCCTTCTGGAGGCCTCCTGGGCGCATTCTGGGAGCATCTGGGGGCTTCCTCGGGCCACCATGCCTCCAACCGCGGTCTCCCTGAACGACCGGGTCACGATTTGGAGTGCTTCGAAGGGTGTCTTGGGGCCATCTTGGGCCGCCATGGGGCTCTCTGAGGGCCATCTTGGACCCGCGTTGCGCCGATTTGGGGCTCTCTTGGACTGCCTGGAAGCACTTTCGGATGGGGTTGTGGGGCGATTTTGGAGCCTCCCAGGCGGCTTCGGACGCCCGGAAGACCGCCGCATTGGAGCGCCGGGAAGCCGAAAAGAGGAAAACCCCAAAATTCACCAACAACCGATAATTCCGCCACGTACCATCGCCATGTCACGCGTCAAATGCACTCATCGCATCTGTTATCGTCATCTTGATTATGCTTCGCGCTTCGCAAGGAGACATGAGCGAGTATACTTTCAGCTTGAACTTTCTCCCAACGTGATGGCGGGCAGTCGCGTTGGCTTAGCGGAGTGGTGATCAGCCCGTGTCCGCGCACCATCAGTTGTCGTTGCCCCCGCTCGCTCCAGTTTGGGGCGATTTCGGACAAGTGCTGTGCCGAACCAATATTACTGGTTGCAGTGGTTAGAGGGGTCCCGAACGGTGTGCTCCAATCGCTGATAATATGATAACCTTTCGAAACACCGCGAACGCCCGCCATCAAAGAGGGTAAGGGGACTACCGCCACGCTGATAGGTGCGATCACAATGATCCTTTTGAGCACTTGTGGTATAGGGTTCCCGAACGGTGCGCTCCATTCGCTGATATTTCGATAAACTTTTTAAGCCACCGGGAACGCCCGCCATCAAAGAGGGTAAGGGGACTACCGCCACGCTGATAGGTGCGATCACAATGATCCTTTTGAGCGCCTGTGGTATAGGGGTCCCGAACGGTGTGCTCCATTCGCTGATAGTTCGATAAACTTTTTAAGCCACCTGGAACGCCCGCCATCAAAGAGGGTAAGGGAACTACCGCCACGCTGATAGGTGCGATCACTCTGATCCTTCTGGGCACCTGTGGTATACGGGTCCCGAACGGTGTGCTCCAATCGCTGATACTGTGATCACCTTTCGAGCCACCAGGAACGCCCGCCATTAGAGAGTGTAAGGGGGCTACCGCCACGCAGATAGGTGCGATCACTATGATCCTTTTGAGCACCTGTGGAAAATAGGCCCTTGCGCGGTCCAGTTCACGGTCATTGCTTGCCGGTGAGAGGCGCGGAGGTCGACTCGCCACCGTCTCCGTGGTAGCGGCGTCTCCGTGGGGGGGGAGGGTGGGGTGGTGGGGGGGTATGGGGGCGGGGCGCTCCCTCCATTCTTGGCCACCCCAGCAAGCCCGCATTACATAGGCCCTTGCGCGACCCAGTTCACGGTCTCGGCTTGCAGGTTGGTGGCGCGAAGGTCGAATCGCCACCGTCTGGTGATGGCTAGGAGTTCTCAAGTTTGACCCTGGGGCCCTGGGGCTTCAATTCCATGGACAAAAAATCATCAACAACCAATAGAACATTAATGATTTTTGCTCTCGGGGCCTTCTTTGGAGTGCTCTTGGAGGCCTCTTTGGGGCCGTCCTGGAGGCCTCTTGGGCCATCTTGAGGTCACGTCGGTCACTCTTGGAGCGCTGTTGTCTTGGGGGTCTCTGGGACGTCTCCGATGACCCCCCTGATCGCCCTAGGTGTGCTGGGAAGGCTTGGCAAAACGCCCTGCGAGGCCCAGGGGGCCGCTTCGAGGCCCGTCCAGAGGGTCCCCAAGCCCCAGATCCAGGGAATCCGTTTTTTGGTGGGGGAGGGGGTCCCCCCGCCCGGGCTTGGTAAAAATATGATAATCTATTTATATTTATATATAGATATATCTATATCTCTATATATATATATATATATGTTTCCATGTATATGTATATGTATATGTATATGTATATGTATAGGTATAGGTATACGTACATGTACATGTATATGTATATGTATGTATATATGTATATATATATATATATATATATATATAACACGGCGCACGGGTCCGTGGGCCCAGGGCCGGCCCCTGGACCGCAAATGTGGGTGTGCAGGCCTTTTGGTGGGCCCTCAGGCCTGCAAAACGCCACAAGAAAGCGCCAAGAGAACCCGAAGACGCTCCAAGATGGACCCGGGACGCCCAAAGGCCGCCCCAAGACGCCCACGATGGCCCCGAGACGGCCCCGAGACGCGCCCCCAAAACGGCCCAAGAGGCGCGAAAAACGCCACAAGAAAGCGTCACGAGACCCCGAAGACGCTCCAAGAAGGAACCGAAACACCCAAAGGCCGATCCAAGACGCCCACGATGGTCCCGAGACGACTTTTGCCAGCCGCTCTTCCTTTGTCTGCTGCGGAGTGTGCGACGGTAACCAGAAAAAAAGGGGGCCAGAGGGAGTATTGGAACGGAAATCTGAAGCTCTCCGTCCCTAGAGGTCCCCAGGAGGCCCCTTCAAGAAGCACCAAAGGGGCGCCCAAGAAGCGCCGAAGAGGCCCCCGAGACGCTCCCAAGAAGCTCCAAAAAGCCCCCAAGAGCCCGGACGCCCCGAAGCACCCCTGGCGATCCCGAGGGAGCTCGGAAATCGTACATTTTCGCATATCCGCCTGATTCGCTTTCCCAGCGTCCGCGACAGCCCCAGATGTTCCCAAGACGGCCCTTCCACGGGGGGGTCCCAGACGAAGATTCGGAACGGATGTGTCCGCTCCCCTGCTGGAGAGCACCCCAGGAAGCTGCAGGATACCCCGTGAAGCCCCCAAGCTGGTCCCAGAGGTCCCCAAGAGATTCCAAGGCAGCCCAAGACGCCACCAAGACAGCTCGAAGAGGCTTCTGAGATGGCCCACCACCGCCCAAAACAGCCCAATAGGCTTCCAAGACAGCCCCAAAGGTTCCGGGGGTCTTTGGGGGCTGTCCTGGGGCCGCCTTGGGACGTCCAGGCGTCCTCTTAGGCTGTCATGGTCCCCTCCGGAAGCCCTTTCGGGCCAGCTTGAGGCTCTTTTGCGTCGGTCCTGGGCTCTCCATGGGCCCTCTTGGGAGGAGAAGGAGGAGGAGGAGGAGGAGGAGGAGGAGGAAGTGGAGGGGGGAGGAGGAGGTGGAGGGAGGAGGAGGAGGAGGAGGAGGAGGAAGAGGAGGAGGAGGAAGAGGAGGAGGAGGAGGAAGAGGAGCAAGGGTGGGGAGGAGGAGGAGGAGGAGGAGGAGGAGGAGGAGCGGGGGGGAGGAGGAACGGCAAGGAGGAGGAGGAGGAGGAGGAGGAAGAGTAACGGGGGGGAGGAGGAGGTGCAGCAGGACGAGGAGAGAGAAAGAGAGAGAGAGAAGGATATATATATATATACACATATATACACATATATGTATATGAAGAGGATTTGAAGACGCCGCCGAGCAGAAAGTTCACATGCAGGAGCTTAGAAAAATCGCCTCTTGGATGCCTTTTGGGCCGTTCTTCGTGCGCTCTTGGGGACAACTTGTCGGTTTTTGTTGGGCCCTCTTGGGGACCGCTGGGGCCTCTTCGTCGCCAAGCGTTGGACTCCAAGCTATGTAGAACCGGAGCGCGCGCGAAGCGCGCGCGATGGTTCTAGTATATATATATATATATACACATGTATATAACGATGTATCGAACACAATTCGCCCAAATATTTCTGGGGGTGCCATTCCCGCGCGGGGCACCCCGCAGTCTCCCTCCCGCGGCCCCCTTCCCCAAGCGGATTCCCCCAGAGGACTTCCCCGCGCGGGGTCCTCCCTTCCAGGGCTCCCCTCACAGGACTCCCCCAGGGGACTCCTCCATAGGGGACCTCCCGTAGGATTCCTCCACGGCATCCCCCCGGAGGATGCCACCATTGGACTCCCCCATGCGACTACCCAATCAAACTTGGACGCCCCAGTGCGACTCCCCCGCAGGATTCCCCCAGGTGGTTCCCCCGCAGGACTCCACTACGAGCCCGCCTGCCCATTGTCATCGGCGGAAATGCACTGGCCGCCCCTGTTTTTGTTGCGGTTGCCCGCGCGGCAGACGGAAACGGGCTTGATACGCAGGAAAAAGAATGAGGGAGGAGGAGGAGGAGGAGGAGGAGGAGGAAAGGAGGAATGAGGAGGAGGAGGAGGAGGAGGAGGAGGAGGAGGAAGAGGAATACGAGGAGGACAAGGAGGAGGAGGCGGAGGAGGAGAAGGAAGGAAAGAGGAGGAGGCGGAGGAGGAAGAGGAGGACGAGGAATAATAGTACGAGCAAGAAGCATAGCATTACTAGAGTCAGAAGAATAATTCGAGTAGTAATACTAATAACGCTGCTGGCGTTAAGGTTAATAATGTTACCCAGATGCAGGATATTCATATTAAAAAGAAGAAGGACACCCAATCACTAATGATACTACCAGGAAGCACAACAACACTGATACTCACATTTAGCGAAGATACCACGATAACTAAGAATACTGATGGCAATGCTAATACTACTATATACTATAAGCATGCGAACTACAGTTTCACAATAGTAAGACGAACACTAGTATGACGAATGCGACTTGTAATAATACTAGTCGCACGAGGAAGCATACTCATAACACTAACACTACTACCAGGAAGCATACTGATACGAATCAGAGGAGGAGGATGCTGAGGATAATGATGAGGAGGCAGGAGGGAGGAGGGAGGAGGGAGGAGGAGGGAGAGGAGGAGGAGGAAGAGGAAGAGGAAGAGGGAGAGGAGGAGGAGGAGGAGGAGGAGGAGGAAAGAGAAGGGGAAGAGGGGGAGGAGGTGGAGAAGGAGGAGAGGAGGAACAAGAGGGAGGAGAGGAGGAAGAGGAGGAGGAGGATGGGGAGGAGGGAGGAGGAGGAGGAGGAGGAGGAAGGTGGAGGAGGAGGAGGAGGAGGAGGAGGAGGAAGAGGAGGAGGATGGGCGCCCGCGAGATGCTCGAAAAGCTGCTCGACAAGTTCATCGACGAGAAGACGGCAGCCGATCCCTCGCGCCGTCAGCCGCTGTTGGGCCGAGGGGGGGGAGGGCGCGTGGAGGGGTGTTGCTCGTCCGCCCCGCGGGGGGAGTTGGGAGGGGAGGGGGAGGAGGAGGAGGAGGAGGAGGAGGAGGAGGAGGAGAGGGGAGGAGGAGGAGGAGGAGGAGGAGGAGAGGAGGAGGAGGAGGAGGAGGAGGGGGAACATTGAACATGGATTGGTCTGCCTCCGAGGATGCAGGTCCGACGAAGAAGAGGGGCCAGACACTGAAGCGCAGGCTGCCGCAACGGGCAGCAGGTCGGCAGGGCAGGAGCGGCATGCCCCAACAACGTTTTGTCTCTTTCGCTTGCCGGCAGCATCATTGCCTCCAGCATCATCATTGCCCTCAACATCATCATTGCCTTCAACATCATTGCCCTCAACATCATTGCCCTCAACATCATTGCCTTCAACATTATCATTGGCAACATCATGATCGGCACCAGCGTCAGTCGGCTAACTATGTGAAGCCGGCCAGGTTGGGAACCAAGACCCGCTGGGGTCAGCAGTTGAATTCCCTAACTCGTGATATTCAGTCGGAGAGTAGCTGGAAGGGCAGGCCCCATTGAAGCATCGCGCCTCCAACAGGCGGCCCAGTCGATCGCGGCCTGCCTTAGAAGCCGTTGTTCGCAAGCACTGGCGTTGCAAGTGTGAGACGTTTCTCGATCATTGCGACCCACAGAGTTTACAAAACATGTATGGGCTGGATGTCATGACAGTATGCCCCGTGCTGTGCGGGGCGGGACAAGGAGGTTTGGCCATAGCATTCTTATGACGGCTGGAAGACCAGCACGCTACGCGCGGAGAAGGAGGAAGAGGAGGGGGATCAGGAGGAGGAGGAGGATGTGGAAGGAGAGGACGGGGAGGTGTCAGCCGACGGAGGGTGAGTTTGAGTGAACCAGCCCCCATCGGCGAGGTAAAGCATCGGGGTTCTCAGCCTGAGGCTTGCAGCCCAGCAGACGAGAGCCACGGTCTTGGAAGCGGATGGTAATTACCCAGCGGTCAGGATTTGCAGTCAGAGGAGGACGGAGGAGGAGGGCGGAAGAGGAGGACGGAGGAGGACGGAGAAGGAAGAGGAGGAGGAGGAGGGGGAGGAGGAGGAGGAGGAGGAGGACGGAGGAGGACGGAGGAGGACGGAGGAGGAGGAGGAGGAGGATCACGACGAGGAGGAGGAGGAGGAGGAGGAGGAGGAGGAGGAGGACGGAAGAGGAGGAGGAGGACGGAAGAGGAGGAGGAGTTCACATTGGCTCTCTGGCCTCCCAGCGCTGAAGC